GGTCAGTTGCATACCTCAGGACTGAAGATAGCCAGGGCCAAATCCATCTATGCTTCCTCATWGCTCGCTCGCGTGTAGCGCCCAGACGCCAAATGTCCATACCTCGGTTGGAGCTATCTGCAGCCTTAACCGGCACTCAGTTGGCTAAGCTCCTAAATGCAGAACTCACCCTGAAGATTGACACTACCACCTTGTGGACAGATTCCACCACAGTGTTAAGATGGATACTWTCGGACTCATGTCGCTACAAAGTATTTGTGGGCACCCGAGTGGCAGAGGTTCAGGATTTAACAGATCCACAATCTTGGCGTTACGTTGATTCAGCCAGCAATCCMGCTGATGACATCACTCGGGGTAAGACCTTGCAGGCTTTGTCCAAGCCAAACAGATGGAGCCAAGGTCCCTCTTTCCTACTCCAAACCCAGGACCACTGGCCTACTAAGCCAATGTYCCCATCTGAAGAGGAGCCYTCAGAGCTACGGAAGTCAGTCTTTTGTGGTACAACTTCAGCCACCACTACCTYGAACTCAGAATCTGAAACCTACCAAGACTGGCAGGAACTACTTGAATCCACTGCAAAGAAGCTACAAACTGTAGTAGGAAAGGATTTAAGTTTGACTGCTGAAGACTACCGCCATGCGGAACAGCAGATTGTAAGTAAGATGCAACATGATAGCTTCCCTGATGAGATCAAACTTCTTAGATTGGGTAAGCCAGTTGCTGCTAACAGCAGATTGCGTGCTTTAGCACCACAGTTGAGTGAATCAGGAGAAATCAGGGTAGGTGGCAGAMTGAGACACGCTAAGGATCTGGAGTTTGGCACAGTACATCCAGTGGTTTTAGATCCACACCACCCATTCACCAGACTACTGATACAGGATTATGATCGACGCTTGTGCCATCCTGGTCCTGAACGACTGTTTGCCGACATWCGCCGAAGCTTTTGGATACTTCGAGGTAGAGAAGCAGTTCGACGTCATCAGTCCAAATGCCCAGACTGCAGGCGGTGGAAGGCCAA